TAAATTAAAAATAAATATTTTTTTACAAGCGTACCAAGCCTTACCCGCGCCCTATTTTTAAAAAATTTTACCGTATGGATGTACCCGTATCGTACCAGTACTAGTATTCATATTCGTACCTGTACCCATGCTTCATAGGCAACAATGACTATGAAAAGCTTCATACACAACATCACACAAAAAAAGTCAACATAACATTATATATACATACAATTTATCATAGATGTATATGTACGTAAAAATGAAGAAAAGTCTTTTAAGTTGTAAGATACAGATAACGCAACGGGTAAAAGGATTCAAACCATACCTTGCGTAAAAGAATTCGAAACGAAGAACCTTGTTGGTAAGTCACGTGCTTGACAACCATGAACTATGAACACCCAGCAATGGAGTGATACTACAGTATGAGCATCACCGACACTAGTCACAGTGCAAAGGCTGGATCGTTCTCTGATGGGAGAGAGTTAGAGAGAGAGTATAAGGAAAAAATGTTATGGGTAAAAAATCACATCACGTATCTGATGTTCTATATATTAAAATATATAATCAGATATATATCCATCTATCCATATCTCCTAAGGATAGGATTGATGTAGATAGATAGAGGGTTATCCTAACAAATAGGATAATCATGAAATCAAATTCAAATTACATGGGTAATTTGAATGGGCCATGGGTCATGCCACATGGGCGCCCAAATTCAGGTCCAATACCCGACCCAATTTCCAACATCTCCCATTCGCACATGAGTTGGCATGATACTGCCACATCTCTATCTCAATCTCCCAAATATTGAACAATTCCATACTAGCCAATGAACCGTGCGACCGCAGAGAAACACTTGCATGTGGGAGCTCTATACTAGAAACTCAAAATGAGCCAGCATAGGGACATCAACCCAAAAAATAGAAATAGTGTCTCATATACCCCAGACCCATCTAATTACACCGGTCCAAAAACATCTTTAATCCCTCAAAAGAGCATGCTTGACCCTCTCAATTCTTGCAATATATTCACACTCAATCCGCCTCTCATACAGAGCGATGTGAGTTGCCGGCAGTGAATTCTAGATGATCTTCCCCTTGCCCTTATGCCATTTAGTTTAGGATTGACCGTTTCCCAGTGATGTCCCTTAAGGCCGAATCATATATGACCGCAAGCAACATACCAAAGTAGCAGAACATCAACCCCTTACCTTGTGACATAGTTAAAGGTCACAAAAGGGTACACAAGTGAAAGTCATATCAATAATGACACGTGAGACTCACACGGTGAGGAAACAAGGATCCATTCTCTCACCTCATTACTCAGTCGCCAAGCACATGGAGTATGAATACATGCTACGGTGGAGAAACTCCTCCAAAAGAGTGACGTCATACTCGATACACCGTACAAATCTTAGTCTAGTCTCTTTCTAGCGCCTATCCCGAATTCTCTATTTGCTCGCCTTCCAGGCACCAAATGAGATCTCGCATCTGGCTAATCATAACAGGCACAACATGGAAAGTGGATACTAACATCCATGTTTGGTCCTTAACACAACCTCATCTTGGTTGTAACCAAGGCGACATATATAGTGGATAATTTAAGCCTCTCTTGGCTCCAAATTAAAACAAACCACTAATCTCATCCTTACTTGCTCCCAAGCACAAAAGGTGATTGCTCATGTGAATGAGCCAATCTTGCCTGCTGACGTCATCATCTACTAATCAATATGACACAAACCATAATAGTGTCAACATCCCATCATCTCACAACAAGTAAGTGATCAATTTTAAAAAAAAAAAGACCACAGTCTGCGCAATTCTAGATGCCAAGCATAAACCTTATCAGCACCTCTTGCGATAAGCATATACAACGGAATCCACCATGTGTGCCTCACATGAAGTGGTTCAAGATCACTACCTCTTGCGCAATTACCTCTCTAAAGATATTTTGGTGACCAATCTACGGTCATTCAAAATGCGCCCAACTAGCGCAATGAATCTTACAAAGGGCAAATTTATACACTACCAGTAAAGCATCCTGTTAATCATATTATTTAATTTTGATGATGTCTAAAATATATTAGTTAATATACATATTATTTGACACAAATTATTATCTTTTTAAAATATATATATTTGTTAAATATTATTTAAATAAAATAATATTATCTTTTTAAAATATCTATGTTAAATATTATTTTAAATATTTTCAAAAACTTTACTATTCACTTTTTGAAAAATAGGGTTAATTACTATTCATCTTTTGACAAATCGATTAATTATATTATTTTGACAAAAATGATTGATTGGTTGTATTATTTTGACAAATTTGATATTTACGGGTTGTCTTATTTTGACAAAATTAATATGGAGTGGTAAAATATATTTAGTTTAAAATCTCTACAACATATACAATATTTTAAAGAGGACATATATTTTCAAATCCATCATAAATATAATTTATAGAGATTTTTCTGTATGCAAAATTTTGATCAGAACTTATATAACATTATATGCAGAATACATCACGTGCGCTATTAAATTTTTTACACTACATTAATTATATCATATTATAATTAAACAAGAAGAACAAGATGGAGTTATGTATATATGTATATATATATATATATATATCTAGATGGAGAAAATTATTTGTTTGTTTGAAAGTTGTGAACTTTGTATTAAATTGTCTACAAAAACGGTGGCTCCATGTTTGAAAAAAACAAGAAGAAAAAATCAATCTTATTTTTATCTTTTTAATTCTTATCATTTGCTGACTATTTAAATTTAAGGAGTGTGCTTATGTAAGCAATGACATCAAGAGCCTGCTTATGTAAGCGATGACATCAGGAGCACGCTTATGTAAGCCATGACGTCAGGAGCGTGCTTATG